GAAGGGACCCGAGGTGGTTGTCAGAGAAGGGCCTCCTGCTGCACTCCTCATCCCCGTAAATGAAAGCCAGACCATTGGTTAGGGTAAAATTTTCTGCTTTATGCATCCGTTCCGAAGGGCAAAACCATAGAATCCCCTCATACAGTGAATGCGGTTGCAAAACACATCCTTCACAGCACTGCTCCTGGATCACATTCTTGGAATAGAATCACAAGTACACTAGGAGGGTGACGCTCGTCAGCAACTCATCATCCTTGCCTGCTGTGGTAACAGAAGTCAGTTTCAAAAAACCAACAGGTTTTTCACATGTAAGAATGCTTGCTCAACAACCCAGACTATAGCAAAACAAGCCACTCAGCCTGATGGAGGAGTCTCCCACCTTTGGTGCCAATTTAACTTAAATGCTTCCAGTTGCTACCTTAACTTGAACTGGTTTGGTTTTTCCCCTTAGGCTAAGAAACAATGTCTTGCTGCTTGCATTTCCTTGTTCTTACCCACTAAAAAAGTGGAAACCAACCCAATTTCCAGAGATTAATTTGCCACTCCCTTAAAAGCCAGCTCCAATACAGCAACAACAAAAATGGTCACTCTCAAAAACACTAGTCACAGCACTTTAGATTTCTGACAAAGAAGCCAAGGTCTCATTTTTAACAGAACAACATCGTTAACTGGCTTCTGCAAGACCTGTGAAGTAAACATATTTCAACTTAAGCCTGAGGCATCAAGCCAGGATAAATTCACTGGATACAACTTCATTCCACTGAAGTCAATGCTTGATTCCTATCTGACAAGAAGCCACCTCTGCCCATCTATATATCCCCTGAACTCTGCTGTCCGAGACACTAATTTTCCCCCACAAATACACTAAAAAATAGACTACTTTTCAAGCCACTGTAAATTAGATTTTCTTATCAACTAGATATTATTTTCAGAGGAATTCCACACCCACAAGGAAAAGGTATCTATACATTTCAGTCGCCACGCAGCAAACTGACCACATGCTAACACTTCATCTCCCTCCACTGAAAACACCATGTTGCAGGAAAAGAGCTGTCACTTTGTTTCCAAAACCAGTTGTGCGATCAGCTCCTTGGCATCCTTCATGCTGGAGGAGATCTCGGAGCCATCTTCTGCTACATGGGTACCAATCAAGAACATCTTCCTCTCGTCTCCAATATCAGACAGTGCCAGCGCATCATGGATGTCGGTGATGCAATACGCACCTTCGAGGTCCTGATGCACAAAAACAAAACGCCTGTTAGTTGCAAGGGTTCTGTTTCTAACAATTCCAGTGTTTCTGATAATAACTTAAGATCACCTGTACAAGCCAGACAAAAGACTTGCCAGCCCAAGACCCCAAGTGCGCAGCAGAGTTATGAGAACAGGGCAACCATACAACAGTATGCCCCGCACACCTCCTCGGCCACCAGCGTTGCCGACACCAGGACCTAGAGGACGAGCAGCAGCATCTGCGTTTGATGAAGCCAACGCCTGCGTTTGCATTCAACACAACAGACTACCAGTAACATGCCTCAGTTACTAGAAATTTAGGAGGTGACAACATAGAGGAAACCAAGCCCACAGGCCCCATGAAAGAAAATCTGGGCATAAAAACCCTGGGCTGTTCCGTTATCTGACCGTGCCACAGGCATGACTCTGCTCCAGGTACGGCACTGGTCGCTAGCATTTTGACAATGATCTTAGGTGAAAGCACTGACTTGTGAGGAAAGCTGCTCCTTTCTCATCCTTCAGCAGCAGCCTTAGGAGCAAGCAACCAATCTGAAGGCAATCAGCAGTGCTTCACCTTTTGTCTGCTGCTAGGTAGAGTGGTACTTCTAGAAAGAATCAGAATACAAACCAAACTCCAGCTCTAACTGCATTCTCCCTTGTAGCTCTCCAACTGCGCAAGCCTACAGCAATTTTCACCATTACTTCCATCCACAGCTCTGACTGCACCGTCTCCGAGCACAGGACCTGCATCTTGCTGATCCAAAACTCAACTTCAGATTATTTTCTTTGTGGTCAACAGGTGTCCCAGAAAAACCCCCCAGCTCCCAGCCACATGGCCTCCTTAAAGGCGTGAAGCCACCTTTCAAAGGCTTTGTTGCTGTTTTCAGAGCTGCTGCCAGCTCAAGCTCAGCTAGCAGCAGGGAACTCTTACCTGCTTGTTGGCCAGAACCACCACGGGGAGGGTGGAGTTGCTCTGGATCAGCTGATGAAGCAGCTGTTTTGCCACAGGCAGTCGGGCATGATCAGCCGAGTCCACAACATAAATTAGCAACAGCACTTTGGGCAAGTACATCTTCCAGTAGGAACGCAGAGATTCACTGCCCCCGACTGGAAGAGAAGACAGCAGCACTAGATTCATTAAGTAATCCAAGCAGCACTGCTCCCAGCGGTGCAGACAGCAGGCCCTGGGCTGAAAACCCAAGAAACTCCCAACATTTGGGCTACTGTGTACAAGACTGGAAACAGCTTTATTTTTCCCAGTCAAGTCCCACGTAGACATATGTGTATGCTCCGAGGGGGGGGCGAAAAAAATCAATCTTTTTTATTTTAAGCTCTTATTTTGAGAGGATTCCTGGGTTCAGTTTCTTTAAGGTTGCTTTCCACCTTGATGATTCTTGCTCTCAAGCAAGTAGGGTTTGAAAGAGGTTTAGTGTCAGTATACACTCTGTCTCCCCATGCCCATCTCATCTTAAAACAAAGCAGGCCTAAACATCCAAAGAAGAAATTTAGCATTGAGGTGGGCTCTCAGTAGATTCATACAACACGAGGGACCATTTCAAAACTCCCACAGCTTTCATACTGTCAATAACCAGAGGTCCTTAGGAAGAGAGAAAAATCAAGCCCCAGCATACTCTTCAGGCAATCCTTGGGAGAAATCCTTGCAGAAGATACATTTCTACCTGAGTTGTTCTCTGCTGGATACAGAGGAAAACTGCCCATCTTCAAAACCAGGCCCTACAACAATTCTGTGGTGAAACCACGGGCAGCAAGTTGCTCGAGATTGTGTTCCCAGCTGGGGACAAGAAGAGTTTGGTAGTTTGCTGAGTTTAATAGGAGCAGTAACAGTTAACAGTATATTAAGTATTTCAGATGTGATTTCAGCTCTCCAGGTCTTCTTGTAAGTACACTGCAGAACCACCGAGTACTGAGTGCAGAGTACTGGGGTGATCAAAAGGCATCAGTGACTCTCCTGGAAGTAGCAAGTTTTCAAAGCAATATCTCTGGGGTTCCCTACAACTGCCTCTTGCCTTATACAGGAGCTCTTTTTCAAAACCGACTTGGTAGCCTGCCACCTGTTATCACCCCAAGTGACTTTGATCTGTTTCAAAGCAATTTTGCTTTCCCTTAAGTCAAAGTGATTCAGTAGTTTCAAGAACGTAGAAAGGGAAGCAACACTTCCTGCTAGGGTGTGCCTGCCTCTTCTTCAAGAGGCCCAGCGTATCTGCAGGCAGAACTGCAAGTCTGCCACTGTGGAAAGGAGCCAAAGCTCTGACTGACACGTCACACTTGAGATAGATGCCTCTGATTCCGTACTGTGACAGTTTGGGAGCTCAGCACCATTCCCTCTATTAAGTGCATTCATGCATAGCACAACCCAGGGGTCACCAACCTCACAGAGAACACTTTTTTTTTTTCCTAAACCAGAAGGAACTTGGCAGAAGCCAGGAGCTCCTACCCCTTGCAGAGGCAAGATAGCACCCACTTATCTATGCGGTGGTACAAAGGAAAAAACAGAACGGTTTTATACCCATCTCAGCCAGCAAAATAAAAACCCTGCTGTGTCGCTGATCACTTTGTGCCACGTGATCACAGCACAGGCTGCTAACCCCTGGACCAGGCAATGGTACAGACTGGGTAAGTAACCAGATTAGAGAGCCATGCACAGATTTACCTGGCTGAAACTGGCCTGAGACATGTCATTTCCCATGGGTCAAGATCGCAGCCATCACATCTCAGTCACTACCAACCTGGACCAGAGAGGGAAGGATGACTCAGAAACAACAGGTTCTGACGTGGGATGCGCAGCACTGGGCCCAGGCCACCCCCGGGGCAGTAGTGGAGATACTGTGGCTTTCTCTGGGCTCAGCTACACAAAGCACCTCCCAGGAGGAGACACAGCTGTCTCACGCCTACTAGAGACAGGCACAGACTGCAAGCATCTCTGGAGTGGTGATTTTCCTAAGATGCTACAGAGACTTCTATGGTAGGAGGACTAGGAATGAAGCTCTGCCTTAGCAGCCTCATCCTCATGTCCCAAAGACTTACCTGGGAACAGCACAACTCCTTCAGGTCAGCTGACAAAGGTATGGAGGTGTCTGCGGGCTGGCTGCCAACTGAGCCAGTCGAGCACTGGTACAGCACAGTGCAGAAACAGCAGGAAGCAAAGGGCAGCTTCTGCCTCCGCAGAAGGCAGGCATGGATGAAGCTGGGATGTCAGCCTCTCTGTATCAGGGACTGACCTGATTCCAGGGCCTCTACCTTCCCCAGCAGTGAGCTACACCTAGGACAGCTGGGACACCCCAAAAGCACCAAAGGAGATGCTCTCTGCATGCAATACTCAAAAAAGAGCGCTAAGGGCAATACAGAAAGTTTACCAAAAACCTCCAGGCATTCAAAAGCCACTAAAGGCTAGAAAACACCACTTACCAAACTTTTGAACAAAAAGGGTACAAAGCTTTTCCCTTCCTCCTCTCTTCTTTCACCTTATTATCTATTCCTTTTCGGCTCTTGCCCTTTGCCAGGCATGAGCACTGTGAAGAAGCTGTTCAACACACAACAGCTACCATCCTCAACATGGGGCTTACTGGGGACACCTCTGCTTTGGGCTGATTTCACGCAGCCAGGCTTGTCACCCTCCTCTCTCTGGAAGCCAAACTCTCTGGAACACACTCTCTAGAATCTGCTCTAACATCGGTGTATCATTTCCTTCACAAAGCAGGATGGGAAAGCAGAATTCCCAAGGAGAAAATAACCACACCTTCACGTCATCAACGCAAGTGTGAGGGAATAGAGAGGTTTTTAAATATGGGCCTAATCTCTAGGATGCAGGATTGGAACCTATTTTACATTCTACACTAAAACATGTTCACTCACTTTCCAGGAACTCCAATTGGGACTCTTCGGTGTTGATGCAGATGGCATTGAAGCCCTCGGTGGGAGCCACGCTGCGCTTGACCTGGTTAGTTGCCAGGGAGTGGAGAACACTGGTCTTCCCAGCCCCATCCAGGCCCAGCACCAGGATCTGCTTGCTGTGTCCCCGGCCCTGCAAAGCGAGGGGCAGCAGCTCAGCCGGGATACGCGCGAAGCTCGGCGGGGCCGGGGGGAAAAAGGAGTCTGGAGGGAACAGCTAAAGCCGCTTCAGCGTGAGGAGGGAGACGGTGCCGGAGAGGGCATGGAAGCCAGGACA